TTTAAAAAAAAAAAAAAAAAAAAAAAAAAAAAAAAAAAAAAAAGATGACCTTATTTCACAATGCATAACATTAGCAAATAACACACCAAGTCCCCCGCTTTGGTGCTGAGGACAGAATCCAGAGCCTCTTGCATGCCATCACTGAGCCCCTCCACCCCTACCTCCAGCTCAGATGCAGGAAGGATACACTGCTGCGTAGGGCAAGGCCTGCTTCATGTTCCCATTGAAGTGAAAGACGAAGAGCAGGAGGATGATGTCTGGAAGAAGAGCCTGTGAGACGGGCAGGGCAGTAGGAGGGCAGGCTGGGGATGGGGGTGGGGTGGGGTGGGTGCCAGTGACCCTGTGCAATGAGGATGGGGTATTCCAGGTAGGTGAGCAGCGGGTTCCCATAGTAATATTGGTAGCGAAAGAAGACCAGGAACCTGGAGTCAGGATGTGTAGATATTCACAGCCCTCCTTTTGACTTGCTGGACCCCAGATTTACCCACATGTTTACCCAACACTAGAGCATGTGGTCGTCACCATACTTGTCACTGACCTTCGGGAATGTTGTCAGAGACCCATTTGGCAGGTCCAAGAGGCCTCGGGTATCAGCACGTTGCTGAACACCTTCAGGGGTCACCTACATTGCCTTCAACGTCATAAAGATCACTTGGGGAAGTTAAGAGCCAAAGAAGACAAGACCATGTGAGACCTCAAGGATAAGGTGGAGTGTGTCACCCGGAGGTGTTGCCCTAGTCCTGCTGCTATGCTTTTAGGGGGACCCAAACATCCCACACATCCTGTGCCCTGGGGATGATGTATGCTTTTCTGTTTTTAAGGTTTCTGTGTGTAGCAGTCATCAACCAGGCATGGAATATCTGGTGTCATTAAACAGCCTCTGGCTAAGATCCAATTTCCTCAAATCAGAATTTTAGAGTTTGAGTTCTCAGATTGAAATCCAAGGAGGGTTCATGTCCCCAAGGCAGGAGTCCAGCCCCTGGAGAATGCAGACTGACTGATGGTGTCTTTAACTTTAGACACTGATGGTGTCTAAAGTTAGGATCTTCCTGATGCCTCAGAGCCTATCTGACTGGTGAGGGTCAGGCAGGCAACCAGGCGAGGCCCAGAGGGAAACAGAATTGAAGTGACCACCCTATCCATGCAGGAAGAAAGAGGGGGAAGGGAGGGGCCAGTATGTAGCCAGCGGGTCCAGGATGGGTTGTCCTCCTATTCCTATTGTTCCTACCTCAGGAGTAAACAACTCTCACCTACAGCTGCGGTAAGGTTTAAAAAAGTAATGTGTGTAGGGACTCAGGAGGCCCTTGGGAAAGTTCTCACGAACTGGAACTATTGTAGCTGACCTACGTAGGGATAAATAACTATTGGATTTCAGCGGTGGAGCATACCTGCGCCTTCTGGTCTCAAAGCTGGTCTTAAACCTGCCAAATCTAATTAGACAAACCTGCCGTAGCTGCCCGCCCACTGCCCCGGCACACTGCCCCGAAGGGAAAGAGGCCGTTGAGATTTCCAGGACGAGCCTGCTTTATCTGATAGATAGACTGCAAGACCCTTCCGGGTCCCAGGGGACATTCCATGTCCGGAACGGGGGTCAGCTGTTGGATTTGAGACCATTCCTGATTAGGTCTGCGTGTTTAAAGCCAGGCTGCAAAGAGGGAGCTACAGGCAGGGCAGGTCGGCGCTCTGTAGGCATCCATGAGCTTTCTGTTCAGTCTGCTCCCTGAAGCCTCACGCTGGCGAAGAACTTGCAAGCCTGAGGCCAAACAGCTCTCCTGACTTCCAACACCTGCACCCTCTGCCCCAGCCTGTCACTTCTGCATCCCTCAGTCTCGTAGTGCTTTACCCCTCACCCTGCCAGTCTCTCTCCCTCTCTGAAATGCATATACTCTTGTTCTATGCAGCCAACGGACCAGGGACCCTCCTGCCCGCCCACCGAGCCTCTCTGAAAAGGTGCACGTTGAAGCCCACTCCATCAGATGCAAGCGCCCCTCCGGGTGGATGACAGAGGGGTGGGGCTGGTGACAAACCTAGAGGGCTCTACCTGGTGCAAGATAGTGCGACTCAGGGACGCGATCTTTCCCATTTGTTTTTCCCAACCAAAGTTTCACAACTTTACCTTTTATTCTCAACTACTTAGCCAATGTCACCGAGAACTTGGCTCCGGTACCAGTCACTGCCCAATCCTGCGTGTTGGACCCCAGCCCAACTTTCAAGCTCAGACCCAAGTAACCCATCTCCCTCCCTCTCCCCACATGGAATCATCAAATCTTGTAACTCAGATCTCAGCCCAACCACTGGTTTACAGACAAGGACTTTAGGCTGGAAAAAAAAAAATGTGGGTGGTGCCGGGTGAGGTTAGGAACGTTAACGGACTGCAGGTGCAAATGGCTTCGCCCGCGGCGGGAAGGCTGTCGCTATGGACAGGGTGGGAGCGCTGAATCTCTAAGATGGGCGTGCACAGGCAATTCGTACCTCCCGGGATTTGGGGAGAAGCAAGGGAGGTGTGTGGGAGCGCCCGGGAAAGCGCCTCCCAGCCCCGCACCCCCCGAATTAACCCTTGCCCTCCCGAGGCCTTACCCTGCCAACTCCAAAAGTAAACTGGGGAGGCTGATGCCCCGCGCGCTGCGTGCCGTCAGCTGCGCGTAGATCTGCGGCAGCTTGAGTGCGGCGCACACGCCCAGCGTGCTCCAGTTGCAGAACCACAGCAGCCCGGCCTCCATGCTGCAGTCCCAGGCGTGCCGGTCCTGAGGGCTGTGGGATCTCGTGGGTGAGAACCCGGAGCTCACCGTCCAAAGAGTCCTTCCGCCTTCGCGCAGGCCGGACCACGCCCCGAGCTGCTGCTCTCTAAGTGCGCCCCGCCCCGAGTCTGCTCCGCTCTGGGTGTGCCCCGCCCCACCCTGTGTTTGCTACGCTCCGGGAGCATTCCGCCCCGAGTCTGCTCCTATCCCGGTACATCCCCGACCAGTCTGCTCTACTCCGGGTGCGCCCTGTCCAGTGTTTTCTTCACTCCCGGTGTACTCCGCCCCGAGCCTGCTCGGCTCAGGATGCTCCTGCCTGGTGTCTGCGCCACTCTGGGTGCACCTTGCCCCGTGTCTGCTCCCTCCGAGGACTCGGTGCCCCAGGGTGGTGGCTCTACCCTGCCCTGCCTGGTTCTGCCAGCTGCTGATTCACTTTCCGGCTTCCACCCACAGTGCCCTTCCTAGCGGAGTGGAAACGCCTGGACAGACAAGCCTCCCCAGGGGTTGGGCGGGCACAGGACCTACCTCTCGGGACATTCTGTGTGCTTTCCCACTCTCTACAAGTTACCTTTTTGCTTCAAACCTTTTAGAAATTAAAACTTTTAAAGCCTTTGGTCCAACCTCGTCAGCATCCTCCCAGACTTAGGGGCCTGGAGAAGCTGGAGAGCTCGCCTGGAACCCAGCCACACCGAGCTAGGCTTCTGGTGAAAGACGGAGCTGGTTTTCCTGTTTTGTTTTGTCGAAACAAGGTCTCGTGCAAAAAAATGCAGATAGACCTTGAGCCTAAGCCAGCTTTGAACTTCAGATCCTCCTGCTTCCACTTTCCAAATGCTAGGATTGTAACTGTGTGCCCGGCACTAGGACTTACTTTGTGTGTGTGTGGGGGGGGAGTTGGGGGGGCGGGTGTTGAGGCCGGGTCACGTGACCCGGACTGGCTTCGAACTTCTGATTTTTCCTTCTGTCCTTTGGCAAATGCTGGGATTACAAGCTTGTTCCATCGTACTGTCGGAGAGCCGGCTCTTTCCTTCTCTCCCTCCTCTTTTTATTATTAGGGTTTTATTGTTACTATTGTGTGTGGGCGCGCGCGTGAGCACACTCTTGAGCCTGCGCTTGTGCAAGCCAAATGGACAGCCTCAAGTGTCATTCCTCCTAGAGTACTGGCCACCCCACTGGCTTGGAACTCTTTAAACAGGCTAGGCTAACTGGCCAGGAGACCCAGGGAACCTTTTTTTCAACCTCTCCACCGCTGAGAATACAAACACACATGCCCAACTTTTTTAGGTGTGTTCTGGAGCTCTAACTCAGGTCCTCACAAGAGTTAATAGGTAACTATTGAGTTGTAGGTGTTGTGGCGCAAGCGCTGCTGATTCCTCCAGATTGGATTCCTGCTGGAGACTTCAGGGCCTATTAACATTCCCTTGGGAGGTGAGGGTGGGTGGGGGGTGTTACAAGGCCCGCCTCCTCTCCAGTGGTTATAAACTGTAAACAGTAGCTTTCCCGGGGCTGGACAGATAGCTCAGGGGTTAAGAGCACTGGCTGCTCTTCCAGAGGTCCTAAATTCAATTCCCAGCAACCACATGGTGGCTCACAGCCATTTGTTATGAGATCTGGTGCCCTCTTCTGCTGTGCAGATATACATGGAAGCAGAATGTTGTATACATATAAATAAATAAAATCTTTTAAAAAATCAGCTTTCCCTGGGGGTGGGGGGGGGAGAGCAGGGACAACCTGATTTCAGTGAGTGATGGAATTTTCTTGAATCATTACCCATATTACATGCAGGTGCCCACCTCTGTTATTCCTGTAAGCAATCCCAGTAAACTCACTGGGTGACCAAGGTGGACCTGGATGGGATTGATTCTGTGATCTGTCAGAGCCCTGCCTGGGGTGAATTGGTACCTACTTCGTATATCTTCCCAAGGGAGAAGAAACGTAGATAATGGCCCATTAGGCACGAGATTGGGAGAAGGTGTAAGCCATGCACTGGTGCACCTTTCACCTTGCCTCCAGTCCTCACCAAAGCCCTCACTCTTCCCAAGCCGAAAACCTCTGTGGCTCTGCTCCCCCTCCCCAGAGAGATCTGTGTGTGTGTGTGTGTGTGTGTGTGTGTGTGTGTGTGTGGTGTCCACACTTTGGCTATGTCAGTAGACAAATCTGCTCCTAGAATGGAGATCTGATCCAGATCCAGCCAGCTCTGCTCTGAGCTACTCCATATTGGGTAAAGCAAGCAGCCTCCTAGCTTGGCCTTGCCCTGAGTGATTCCATTTTTACAAAGTAGCAGTTTGTTCCATTTTGAGGGTAAATGCTAAAGCAAAAGGACTCCACATCCCATACATGTAAACAACCTCCTAAACCTGGAGAGAGGTCATCTAGGCTAAGCAGTAGCTCACATTTCCTTCCCAGTGTGGCTTACCTGTCTGTATTTATGTACCACACATAAGCTACTGGCCAGTATGCTGTAGACATCATGGCACGTGGCTAAGCCTGGCAGTGTGGACCCTGGAGACAAAGGTGTTCTACATCAGGGCTTCTTAAGCTCCTCCCACTCACAGCCCCTCTCACCTGAGACAGAGCTCTGTGACCCTGGATGAGAATGTACATACAGTGTGTGGTCAGGCAGCAGCTTGCAGAGCCAGCCTGGACATCTTTGTCTTTTCCTTCTAGGTCTCTTTCTGAAGCATGCTTTCCCGGACACTTTGATTCCCTAACTTTCCCAGACACTCCCCTCCCCCACTCTTTACACCACACGGGCTGCTCCGCTCCCATGTGACTACTTACTAAATAAAGGACAAGTTTCCCCTTCACCAAGATTTACCGTTTGCCTGCCCTAATCTCCGATCTTCAGGCAAGCTTTATTAGAACATAAACAATATATCCCCACAATGTCTAGTACAGGAAGATGCCCAAGGGTCACTCCACGGCTCCATGCCTCCGTGTCTCCATGCCTCCATGGCTGGCGGTCACTCTTTATCACTGGAAGTAGAGGTAGCGACTACCACACAGCAGAGAGAGGCAGATTTGCTCAGAGAAGCAATATTGGGGCGGGAGTGAAGGGGGCTCCTTCCTGTTCTGCTGTGGTCCTTAGCTTCCCAGCCAGGGGTCCCCTTCTGGACCCCTAGTGCTGCCCAGCACATGGGCTCTGAGCTGCCCTGGTTGACTGTCTAGACAAGTCCCTAGGGTATTCCAGTGATGCAGTGGAGGTTTGGCGCCTAGGCCTGGAGGCTGCCTGGTTCATCCAGCTTTCTTCTGGTCCCAAAGAGAGGAGACACAGGTGGCTGGACCCTTCATCTCCATTTCCTCATTCTGTGGGTGAGAAGGAGCCTCAGAAGCAGGCACTTTCCTGAAGAGCCTGAAGATGTGACTGGGTGTGGGAGTAAGTGGGGTAAAGGGTCACGAAGAGTCAGACACGGTATTCTGGCATGTCTTAGTGTGCTCTCTTGGATCAGCTGGCCTGAGCGCTCTGGAGATTAGCAGAGAAGCCTGTGCCCTGGGAGCCAGTTGGTCCAAAAAACGGGAAGATATTTTTACAAGACCTTGTCCCAATGTGATGTTCCAGTCAAGGTCTGTACATGGGAAAGGAGGCATGAGCTGGGCTGTATGGTCCCTGCTGGCCAGTGCACTCTGGAGAACTGCCCCAGAGATCTGTCTCCTCCCCTCTCCTACCCATCCTCCAATTGTGGAAATGGTGGCCTGGAGGGGTCAGGCACCACAGGGAATTGACCAGGCTGCCCCAGATGTTTGCTTTGGTTTCTGGTCCTCTTGGATGGTGACAAAAATACCTATGAAAAAGGTGACTCTGGCTTAAATTCTGCACTATCTGTAAGTGGCTGTGCTTGTAGGCTTGGGAACTGGATCAGGGCCCCTGGTCCTATGCCCCAGGAGACAGAGAAGTTTTGATGAGTCTCTTTAGTGTGCACACATGAAGCCACCCGCAGCTGCAGTTAGCTTTGACTTTTGTTCTCAGTTTTATTTCTGTGCATGTGTCTGCATATGCCACTGTGCATTCAGGTGCCCTTTGGGGCCAGCGAGGGCACTGGATTCCTTGGAGTTAGAGTTACAGGTGGCTATTAGCTTGGGGATGGAACCTAGGTCCCCTGCAAGAGCTTTTAGCTGCTGAGCCATCTCTCCAGCTCCAGTCTGGACTTCTCTTTCTTGCTCCTAGAGTCTGGTCCAGACAGAAATAGCTCTTTGGGAGGTGGGAGTGGGTAGAGTAACATAAAGCAAATTCATGCCCAAAACACAGACTTCACCAGTACTGAGCCCCTAATAGTTACTTCTGTACCCATCCAACTCAAGGTCATGTGATATACTGCCACCGTGTATCTCACAGTGTACTCACCAGTGACTTTTGCCTAACTCTATGATCAGGACACCCTGATTTGACCTTAGACTCCCAGAAAGAAGACTGCAGCCTTCAGGTCAGATCCCAAGGCGGTGTACTACCAGCTCTCCCCACCGCCTCCCAATGCAGACAGAGGCAGAAGCTGTCAACAAGCTCATGGCTACAAGGTCAGACTGAACCCATTGGACACGCTCTACCACACTTAGCACTGGGTTCCCTTCCCAGAAAAGAATCCCTGGGGTCCTGGAAGGGCTGAGGTTCTGTGTCCCAGGGTGTTCTGAAACCCTCCTCCCATGCTCTGAGGGCTGCCTGGGTTTAGTCCACGCCACACCCACCGGCTGCCGGCTGCCCTGAGATCTCTACACTGGCTGCAGCTCATTCTCTGGCTTCCTCTTCCGGGTGCCTTCCATGAAGAAGAAGTCCATTTGAGTGAGGACTCTCCCCAGGGTCGTGTCCAGCCTGCTGCCCACCTCCCGGCTCGTGGAGCTGGGGACCGTGTCTGAGAAGAAAGGCATGTCTGTAGGAAGCTCTTTAGGCTCCTTCTTATTTCCCTGAGGAGAGGAGACATCTCAGGTCACAGGCCCCGTGAGAAAATAAAGAAAGAATGAATATTCATGCTGTAAGCAGTTTTCTGAGGGACGTGGTACCTTACCAAAGGGTCATAGTCTTTCAGGAAACCCCAGTTCTCAGCCCTGGAAAGGAACGCACAGGAATGTGAGTGTTTTTTGTTTTGTTTTTTTCTGGAATATTCTTAAGATTGACTTTCACCATATCTTTAAGTCTCTATGGAGAAGTTAAAATGCTACGTAATCACAATACGTGCCAAATGCCTGTGCTGTATTTTGGAACAGCCCACAGAGTGACCAGAGAAGTTTTCTATCTTGTTTTAGTAATTTCCACAAATTCTTCTTACTCCAGATGTGTTTAACACTTCAAGTTTACAGTTTTCTTATTTATTCATTTGTCTGGGTTAGCTTAGAACTCACTGAGGATGGCCTTGACATTTTTTTGTTTGTTTGTTTTGGTTTTTCAAGACAGGGTTTCTCTGCTTTGGAGGTTGTCCTGGAACTCACTCTGTAGACTAGGCTGGCCTTGAACTTGAACTCACAGTGATCTGCCTGCCTTTGCCTCTGAGTGCCCAGATTAAAGGAGTTCTGATCCTTCTCTCTCTGCCTTCGTAGTGCTTGGGTTACAGGCTTGAGTGGTCACCATTTGTAGTGGTTTGAGTGAGAATGGACCCCATAAGTCTCATGTGTTTGAATACTTGGTTCCTAGTTGGTAGAACTGTTTGGAAAGGATTAGGAGGTATGGCCTTGCTGGAGGAGATGCATCACAGGAGCAGGGCTTTGAGGCTTAAAAAGCCCATGCTAGTCCCAGTTGGTTTTTGAATACCGACTTAAGCTACTGCTCCAGTGCCATGGCTGCCTGCCTGTTGCCATGCTCTCTGCCATGATGGTCAAAGAAGCTAACCCTCTGGAACCATGAGCCTCTTTGCCATTCTAGTCTTGTCTTCTTCAGCTCTATATCCAAGGTGGTGATTATTAGATGGTATGGTATTTTTTCTATTTAGAGTTTTTGAGGACCCACCATACTCTTTTCCCTTCTTATGCTCGTGATGACTACCATCAAGCTGAAAGCATGGAGGAGGCCCCCACACCCACTCCCACCCCCTAGCTAGCATCCCTGCTCAGGCAGTGCCTTAGCTATGCACCACCAGCTTCCTCCCATCTCACCTGCCATGTCCATCTGGGGAGGTTGCTATGAGTTGGGAGATGGGATCAGAGCCCTCTCTATGTCTCTATTCCCAGCCACCTGCTGGGACCAAGGCCCTGGGCTCTTGTAGCAAATTCAGATCCAGTCTGGGTCTGAGCAGGCCTTCCTTGCATCCTACTTTCAAGTTCTCCCCCTCTTATCTCTTTTCCATATATTCTCCCTTTCCCCAGCACCAAAGCAGCTGGGGGCGCGGGACTGCGGGAGGAGGGAGGCAGGGGCAGGTCACTCACCACCGCTGCTGGCCTCGGGCTTCGGCTTCCACAAGCTCCCTCCACAGCTGGTCCTGCTGCACACCAGGGGCTGTGGCACCCTGGCAGCCACCAGCATGACCCCGGCTTGCTGCAGGGCCATCCCGAGCCCTGGAAACTGAGGCAAGATGCCTGGTAGGACGCAGTCCGTGTCCGGATGTTGTGGCTCTTGGGAGCCCAGCGTGTTGGCTGCCCATGGGGGACTGAGGAGAATAGGAGAGGGAGAGAGAAGAGAGAAGAGAGACTGATTGAGATTCCTTATCCCAGGAAAGCCTGCACAAGATCTTCACAACGGATCCCGAGCTCAGAATGAGTGACTGATGTGGACAGAAACTCTCCAGGCTGGGGCAGCATCTGCGCCCAGCTGTGTTCTGCTGGCCCAGTCTGTGTTGACTGTCGCCCAGGGAACAGGAGGCTCCCGGGTGCACACGGGAAGGGGCGGACCCCACTGAGTGCTCGCTGAAGACATCTGAGCCCCTTTGTGGGGTGCAGATTGTCTGTGCTTTGTCCAGCCCTCCCCTGGGCCGGAGGGCGGGACAGACCCAGTAGGCGGTGCTCCGGAGAGCTGCGTGGGCAGGTGAGAGGAGCACGATCTTGTGCTGCCCCCTGGTGGACACCGCAGGCTCCCAGGGGAGGCGCCCCGGGGCCTTGACAGATGTGAGGCCAGGGCAGGAAGTGAAGTCATCCTATCAATTGTCTATTTAAAGTAACTTGGGGAGGAAAGGGTTTATTTGGCTTTCACTTCCACATCACAGAAGGAAGTCAGGATAGGAACTCAAACAGGGCTAAAACCTGCAGATCGCTGATGCAGAGGCCATGGAGAGGTCCTTGCTCCCCATGGCTTGCTCCGCCTGCTTTCTTACAGAACCCAGGACCACCAGCCTGGGTGGGCTGGGCCTTCCCCATCAATCAGTAATTAAGAAAATTCCCTACAGCTGAATCTTATCTTGGAGGCATGTTCTCAATTGAGGTTCCCTCCTTTCAGATAGCTCTCACTTGTGTCAAGTTGACATAAAACTAGCCAGGACACCAATGTTCCTTCTGAAAGTCCATGGAGCCCTGCCATTGATCCTGCCGACCAGCTGGGGGCAGCATTTGTAGGCATATGCTCTACCACTGAGTCACACTCCAGCCAAGAAGGAAGGCTTTCCTAAACCTAGTCTGCAGGTAAGAATCCAACAGCGGCAAGTGACCCGTCCAGGTGGCTTTGAGTTTAGCTGGTCATAAAAGGCATACTGAGGCTGGGCGTTGGTGGCGCACACCTTTAATCCCAGCACTTGGGAGACAGAGGCAGGCGGGTCTCTGTGAGTTGGAGACCAGCCCGGCCTCCACAGAGAGGGGCCGGACAGGCCCCCAAACGACACACACAAACCACCTCTCCAAAAAAAAAAAAAAAAAGGCATACTGAGGACTTAAGGTACTGATGCAGACCCCACTTCTGTTTCTTCTCTAACCCGAGCAGTCCAGCTCCCTCAGCGGCACCAGTAGCTTTTTTTTTTTTTCCCCCAACTTAGCCAAACCCAGACATTCCCATAACTTCTGTTCCAGCCACTCTACCCCTCTTCCTCACCACCGTGGTGCATCATGGAAGGGTTTGTTGATAGACCCCTCATTCATTCCCTGACACTCCATGCCTAACTCCTGCTCAGCAGGGCGCTCCTTCTCTGCACCCCCAGGGGAGAACAGAAATAACCAGGTGCAGACAGAGGTGCCCAAAGTGGAGGGATGCTCTGGTGCCTGGGGCTCGGCCAATCGGTGGCACCTACACGACTCTTCTAGCTTCAGGTCTCATGCTGAGAAGCAGTTTTCTCTCTTGCAAGCAAGCTCCATAAGACCAAAAGTAAACAACTCAAAATAGCTTCAGGAAGTCCCTGAAACTGACCAGATTCACCAGGCTCTGCCTTTCCCAACAGTAAACAATATAGCAAGTACTGATAGGACCCACTTTCAGAGAAACCAAGCTGCCTGGAAGAACCAGAGGCCACAACTGAGCCACCTGGAAAACACACTCTCCAACATGTAGAGCTGCCTGTTGTGTGCTCTAGGTTCCCAGCTTTTGTGAGCTGTCACCATGCTTGGGTAGGCTTTAATGACGCAGCTGTCTCTGAGTCACTACCTCTGTGAGTGACCTCTCATCCATATGCCCTTAAATAATCCCCCCAAACCCAGTGATTCACCAAGTTGGACTTTTGTGGTATCCATACTTTGGTCTCTGTTGTGGGATCCCTATCTGAGGGGGTGGATAGACATGTTGTGGTAGTTTGAATGCAGTTGGTCTCCATAAACTCAAAGGGAGTGGCATTATTAGGAGACATGGTCTTGGTGGAGGAGGTTTGGCTTTGTTGGTGGAAGTGTGTTGTAGTGGGGGTGGACTTTGAGGTCTCCTATGTCTGCTTTCTGTTGCCTGTGGATCAGGATGTAGGACTCTCAGCAAATTTTCCAGCACCATGTCTGCCTCCCCACCAGGATGACAATGGACTAAACCTCTGGAACTTTAAGCCACTCAATTAATTGTTTTCCTTCGTAAGAGTTGTCAGTCTGGGTGGTGGTGGTGTATGCCTTTAATCCCAGCACTTCGGAGGCAGAGGCAGGTAGAACTATGTGAGTTCAAGGCCAGCCTGGTCTACAGGGAGTGCCGGGACAGGTTCAAGAGCTACACAGAAAAACTCTCAAAAAACAAAACAAACAAAACAAAACAACAACAAAAAGAGTTGTAGTGGTCATGGCATCTCTTCAAAGCAAGAGAAACCCTAAGACATGTGTGTTGTGTTTCCCAAGAAAAGTTCATTATGAAAGAGGAAGCAGGGGTTTGGTCTTCACAGATGAGAAGGATTTTGCCCATGACAAAACTGGGGATTGAAAAATTTAGATACCAGAGAGAGAAGAGAGGGGAGGGGGCACAGTCTGGGGCTGGAGGCCGGGTGCAGATGCAGCCTGACATAGGGATGTTTGGGAGTTTACTCTGCACAGAGCGGGTACTGATGAGTTATAAGCACTGAGGTAAATGCAGAGTTGGAACCACCAGGACAGGGGCAAGAGACAGATGAGGCTGTCATCCTGTGACCCCTCTGAAGGGTGGCACTGAAGCCACACTGGGCGCTGGCAGAGACAAATGTAGGGGAGACCCAGTGGACCAGTGCAAGAAGTAAAGGGACTCCAGCTCACTGGGGCCCCTGACAAACATGACAGGCCTTGTCTTTCTTCCAATACCCTCTGCCTTGCTAAAATCTGTTTGATTCCCTTATTTGGCCACTTTCTCCTTCTGAGGCTGACTATGAAGGTCCAGCTAACAAAGTATTGAAGTCCAGCAGTCAAAAGCCCCCTTTGGCTACCCCAATTAACATGGCCAATCAAAACAAACTAACTCATCTTAACACGGGGATTCCCCTTTCTCTTTATAAACGGCCATTTTCCTATGGGCCACACCTGTCTCCTCTCTATCCAGAGGCAGCCCTTTGTCCTTCCAGGACAAATATCCCTGCTCTCTCTCCCTTGTTCCCTTGCTCTCCTCCCTTATCCTCTATCTCTTGTCTTTGTCCCTTATCCCCTGCCCTCTGTCCTTCTGGAGTAAATACATCTCCTTTGTGCTGGGAACTTGGTCTTGGGAGTCCTGGTCGATACTTTCCCTTTCAGGAAGGCCCTTACACACCATCTTTTGGCGTTGGCATGAAGAAGGGGCTGAGGTGGGTATGGAGTTCTGGGGGGTATGGTGTAGGTTAAAAGCCCCAGCTCAATTCCAGGTCTTGAAATCCCACCAATCCCTGAGCTCAAAATCCAACCAATCCCTGAGCTTGCCCCAAGCTCAGGACTTGAAATCCCACCAATTCTCACCCTGGAAAAATCTGCCCTGGAAAAAAATCCACCCCCAAGAAACCCTATATAAGCCTGCCTCCCATTCAGTTTTCTGCTTTTTTCCTGCTTTTCTCCTGAGCAGAGGTAGCCACCCACCTCCCTGTGTTTTTTCTAGTAAATCTCTTGTGTGAGATTTGTTGCACAGTGTGGCTTTGTGGTATTCCTTGACTTGGGACTGCCAGGATACCTTTCTTCTCAGAGCTGTAACATTTACACATGGGTCTAAATGGAGTGATGAGTTGTGGCACTTTCTTCTCTCATTTGTTTGTCCTCCATAGCTGGGCAGGTTTTCATGGGTGCTGTTGAGTCTGGGGTGGCAGCTGTGTCCCTAGACAGTGCCGTGAAAATGAATCCTCATTATGTCCCAAAAGGGCAGCTCTGACTTCCTTGCAGCCCAGGAACTTCTCTCTCTCTTTCTCTCTTGAAACAGGGTTTCTCTGAGTGGCTCTGGCTGTCTTAGAACTCATTCTGTCGTCCAGGCTGGCCTCCAACTTGGAGGCAGAGGATTTTTTTTTTCTTTCTTAGAGAGACTGGAAGATGTTGCCCCAAGAAGGTCCTTTCTGTGTGCCAAGGGAAGTCCTTATCGGGCTGACATGGGCCATGGCATTTATCAGTTAGGGAAAGCCATGTGATTTGCTGGGGTGCTTCAGCCCTGGTCCATTGGTCATGTTCTCTAGTGACAGGAAGCACAATAGCACTCACTCAAGTGGCTATTGATATTTAGACTAGCTCTCATGATGGGCCAGGTTGCTAGTGAGTGTGGAGGTTGAATATTTCCATGGAAGTGGGTTGTTTAAGATTAAAGTTTAGAGCCGAGGAATGCACTTCTCTGAACTGATCACAAGCATCTGTTTTCAGGGCAAACAGTAAGGGGTGATGCGATACACCAGCTATTTCGTTGTCAAATTTCTTGACTTTCAACATGATTGCTTTTTGAATGGAATTGCTCTGTGTTCCTGGCTTCCTGATGGCTGACTGTGGCCCCATGGAACCCATGTCTTCTGGGATTAGCTCCGAACATGGTGAGATCTGCAGAGTCGGGAGGCCACTTACCCTGAGACACACACTCCAGCTGTGGAAAATTCATCCTATGGGCGTGTTACTAAGTTAAAGGCCAGGTAAAGAGGGCTCACTAGGGTCTCCTCCAAGACACACAGAATGAACCCATCTTTGGAATTTAGCTGTTTCTAAAGTCTATTGGAAGAGTTCCCAGATGCAGGCTTATTAGCTCTGAGCAAACACCCACAGCTTCCTGGGAGCCCAGGCTGGGGCCCAGCCAAGGCTGGCTTGAAGCCTTCTCCATGGATGAGGGACACATGGACATATCCATCATCTCAAATGTGTTCTTCCTTAAGTTTACATTCATTTATTTATTTGGGGGTATGGGGCACACAAATGCCACAGTAGGTATGAGGAAGTCAGAGTAGAGCTTCAAGCACATTTTTTTTTTTTTTTTTTTTGTGGTGAGACCATTGGAAATCACTGTTTGCAATTTTGAAATGTACAGCCTACATTTTGCTATTTCCCACATTATGTACTAGATCCCCCCAAACAATAATAATTTCTTTTATCTGGTAAGCCTTTGTTCTTTCAATTGATGTCACCTAGCTTTCCCCATCCTGAGCCCCTGGCAGCTTCCGTACTGCTCTT